TAAAATACACACTGGATTTTGAAAACTTATTAAGAAAAAGATGTAAAATATCTATTTAATATTTTTTATATTGTTTACATATTAAAATAACATTGTGGATATATTGCATTAAATACAATATATTGAAATTAATTTTACCTTTTAAAACTTTTAAAATGTGGCTTCTAGGAAATTTAAAATTGCATAGAGGCTCACATTTTGGGCTCACGTCATATTTCTATTGGATAGATACATTAATAGGGAGAAAGGGGCATTGCAAATTAATTGGGTGGAGAGGCATGTGAAGGGGAGGAGAGTGGACAGAGGCCTGTGGTGTGGGGGTGTGATCACAAAATGTATTGAAAGCCAGGAGGAAGAAGGGTTTTTTTTTTTTTTTTTTTTTTTTAGCACATCTTTGTTGACACACTGAGCTTGTTGGGGCAGTGGAAAAGCCAAGTGGCATTTCCAGTGGGCCGTGGCAGAGCAGAATAGACACATCTTTGATTCAGAGGAGAGATCTGGGTTGGGGGAATATATTTGGGAGATGTTATTTTGCAGTTAAAATCCTGGAGAGTTATCTGAGGTTGCCAGAGAAGAGGTGCTTTGGAGTGAGTGTACCTCTAGGGCTCGGTCTGTCAGCTCCTTCTCAGGAGGTTTGCACTTGCACACCCTGTGCCTCCTGTTCTACTTATGATGTTTTGCACTCTGGGGTTACTCCCTAAACATTTAGAGATAATGAGGAAAACTGGTTACCTCTTGGGAAATCCCCCTTTCATCTTAGCTCTTGAGGATTGGCAGNAAGAGGTGCTTTGGAGTGAGTGTACCTCTAGGGCTCGGTCTGTCAGCTCCTTCTCAGGAGGTTTGCACTTGCACACCCTGTGCCTCCTGTTCTACTTATGATGTTTTGCACTCTGGGGTTACTCCCTAAACATTTAGAGATAATGAGGAAAACTGGTTACCTCTTGGGAAATCCCCCTTTCATCTTAGCTCTTGAGGATTGGCAGAGGACTAAGCTGGTGTTTGGGGATGAACATCCAGCATTGCTCCGAAGAGCAGGAGCTCATGACAGGTGAGTGAAGGGACAAGTGTGCAGTAGCACAAGGTGGGAAATGGGTTCACTGTACACTGATTACAAACCTGTTTGAGTCTGGTGAGACAGAACATCCATCCCCACACAGCAGGTTACATGAAGCGGATGTGTTACTCACAGATAGGCAGCAAGGGACAACAGAAGCCTAGATAGAAGAGTTCACTGCAAGCTGGTCCCCCAAGGCTCAGAAAAGCCACCTGGGGGGATTGGGGTCTCACTTGTGCTTACTGAACTTGCTCTGTAGCTGAGGGACCCCAAAAAGCATCCTGTCCTTGAATTTATGCTCCGGNGGGGTGTTCTGTACAATTTCTCCTTATCTCACATTGTTGAATTCCCAGCACATTCTATGGTTATTCTTCAGAACTACAAGCAAGAAAGGGGGAGGGAGAGAACTGGGTCAGTCCAAGTCTAGCTGGAGAGCTGTCCTACAGTGGGGAAGCTTGAGGTCAGGCAGCATTAGTTGGTCCCACCTGCAGGTGGGATTGGTTCCCAGGCCTGGGTTGTCTGGCACAGCAGGAAGGTGAGAGTGGGGGTGATCCCAGGTAAGGAGATCAGGGTGACAGACCCCAACAAATTGGGAAACATCCTAGATTGGTGTTTTAGTTTTAACCATGAAAGGATGCTAGGAGCATTTCTTTTCGTAAGTCAACAATAGACTGTCTCAGGAGGTGGTCTAATATTTCATTCACTGATATATTCACTTATAATTTAGGAAGGAAAAGTAGGAACAATGGAGTAATGAGATGGAAAGCCCCCCTTGGAGTTAATGAACTGTGGCTATGAAGGGTGAAACCAGGAACATTTTGAACAATGATGCTTTATTTGGAATGCACAAAGTCTCCAAAGGTGAACTCCTTTGAAGGACAAAACTTATTTTGATGCCTGTGTTCTAGAATGTACATTAAAATTCATCTTAATTATTTCATCCATACACCTCATTAAGAAGAATCCAAATGAGTAATAGCTAACATTCATCAAACAAACACAGCATGCAGTACTAGGGGTTAAGGAAGTGCTCTCAGTCTGACTCTTTCTGTACCAAGAGGTGTAATCACGAGCAATTTGCATAACCTCTGTGTTCCTCAGTCTTTTCATCTATGAAATGGAGATAAAAATGGTACCCACTTTGCAGGAATGCTTTGGTCCCTAAACAAGTTAATACATGAGGAGCACAAAGCGTAGAACAACGTTGGCCATTTGTTTGTGGAACACCTACACTGATCTTCTTGGCTTCTTTACAAAGAGGAGGAAATTACGTCTTGGAGAAGTGAGTCAGAAGCTGGCAGGTTAGCTGTAGAACCAGCCTACAACCCAACCTCAGCCAGAATCTCAAGCTTGTGCCCTAAACCATCCCAGGTTAGTAAACTAGGACATGCAGGCCAAACCCTGACCCCTACCTCCCTTTGTAAAACCCCAGAGATAAGACTTTTTATTTTTATTTTTTTGTAAACATTGCAATCCAGCTGATGATAGGAAATGCTAACTTTGAACCTCGGTTAAGGGAAATGTTATCCACCCCCTGCCAAAAAAA